CGCCATCCTCAAAGCGCGAGGGAGCGGTTTGGACGACCGGCGCCGACGCGCTCCAGGCCGCGGGCGCACTGGACGATGTTCGGCGCCTCGAGGATGCGTTTGATCTCGACGTGCCTCGTCTCGAGAGGCCGTCGACGCCGCCGCCGTCGGACCCGTCCGCGGACTCGTCCGCGACGGCCTTGGGCCGCATGCTTGCTAGCAGACCCAGTCCCCTCGCCCACTATAACATGACTAAGACCCCTCCTTGCGCTCCTCGATTTCGAGCTCCTCGAGCGCGCCGCGCATGGCCGCGTAACATGACTAAGACCCCTCCCCGCGCTCCTCGATTTCGAGCTCCTCGAGCGCGCCGCGCATCGCGGCGTAGTACGGGTCGTCGACGCCGCCGTTTTTGATCCTGAACTCGTCAAGAATTTGCAAAAGGCCGGCCGCGCCGGTGAGTAGCTCCGGAGCCGGCGGCGGCTCCGCGGCGGGCTCGTCGGGCTCCGGCGGCGCCTGGTGCGCTCGGTCGTTCGCGAAGTGTTCCGTCGAAGCCGTCGCCGCCGCCGCGAAAAGGGCCCCGAACCCGCTCTTCAGCCGGGCGCCGCCGTCGGTTTCCTTGAGGTGCGCCGCGACGGCCGTGAGAAGCATCTTCGCCGTCAAAGTGCCGTCTTTCGCGGCGGCCAAGAGCGCCGCGTCGCTCGCCATGACGGCCGTGATGGCGCTCGTGACGATCTCACCCGACAGCGGCGACGAATTCGCGGCGCGCGAGTCGCCGGGATCTGGCGGCGGGTGGTGCGCTCGGTAGTCCGCGGCCGCCATCAAGCTCGTCACCAAAGCCGCGAACAGGGCCTCGTACTCGCTCTCCAGCCGGGCGCCGCCGTCGGCTTCCTTGAGGTGCGCCGCGACGGCCATGCGCACCATCTCCGCCGTCAAAGTACCGTCTTTCGCGGCGGCCCTGAGCGACGCGTCGCTCTCCATGACGGCCTTCATGGCGTTCGCGACGATCTCCATCGACAGCGGCGGCGGCTTCGCGGCGCGCGAGTCGCCGGCGACCTTCTGCGCGCACTGCGCGCGCCACAGATCCATCTCCTTCTCATAGCGCACCTTGTCCTCGTCGGCCAGCGCCTGATACTTTCGCTCCGCTTCCGGCGTCAACTTGTCCCATAGCTTGGCGCATTCTTGAGCCTGCGGGGAAATCGGAGGCTCGGCGCGCGAACAAAAGGCTTCGATCCTGTGACGCCGTGGGCGCGCGATCTCGGGGTGAGACATGCCCTTCTTTGCCAGCGCCGGGCGCTTCTCGTCGGCGAAATAGATGAACGAGCCCTTCTTCCCCTTGGGCTTGGCGGGAAGCTCTTCGGAAGCGCCGCGAGGCGTATTGGGCTTCGCGGCGCGCTCATCGGCGCTACGCGCCCGCCGGAGGAAGATGACATGACATACGCGGCGGCCGCGGAGCGGTTCAATAACTTCGAGGAATTTCGCGGAAGCGTCGACGCGTACCCAGTAGCGCCGACTGGATTGGGCGCATTCGTCGAGAAATGTCGCGTCCATGGGAGACGTGGGGCTGTATTTCGACAACGCAAAAAAATCCAGGTCCTTGCGCGACGGCTTCGAGTTCAGCAGCTGACGCGCAGCGGCTTTCGATCTTTCCGACGTGAGATTACAATATTCCTTCGAAAGACTCAGCACGCAGTCGTAGCAATCGATTTTGGCCGGCGGCACGCCCTCATTCAGATCGACGGCACCAACCGGCACAAAATCGTCCCCGTCGGCCGCGTACATAAAAACTACGGCCGAGTCTGCCCCATGAACTCGCGGGCGCAGGACCAGTCTCGACGAACGCGTGACGACGTCGTCGAGCGTGACGGCTGTGCCCTCAAAATCAACGTCGAACTCGCCAATCGGTGCCAGAGAATAGACGAAACGGTCAACATCGTCAATCCCCGCTACACAATTTCTCACGGTCTCGCCCGCCGGCCGATCAACCTCGGTCATGGCGGCGCCCTCGTCCGACGGTC